CTAACTTTTACAGATATTCACTATACAAATAATCTTGAACAGACATTTTGGAACAAAGTGTGTCCATGCGTCTCCTTGTAAAATGTCAAGAAATGCAAGACCCATGGAGAACTGACTCCCTCCCAACACTGTACTAGTGCCAAAAGGGTAGGGAGGAGACATCTTTTGACCTCCTCTAACTACACAAGAGGAAGTCAGAATCACCATCAGCAGTCCAAGGCTTGTTCCTATGAGGCCAGACATGCCTCCACCCTGCAGCCCTCTTACAAACCTCGAAACCAACCATCCCTCTCGTGGCACGCACCACCTCTCTGGTGGCTTCAGTAATTCACTGGAGTGGCCACACAGAAATCACAGATTATGGGGTTTATTAGGGAACCAACAGGCTACAATTCCAGTTCAAGAACGCACTCAGGATAGAATCTGTCGATCAGGACAGTCCCCTCTGCTGTGTCCTCAGACACATCTCTCTGGCCTTTGGCCTCTCAGCCTGGCCTCTGCCTCTGTGGGCCAGGTAAGCTTGCTGCTCTGTCTCGTGCCTCTTGCTTCCACTGCCGCCGTCTCTCAACTGGGCATCTCTCAGCACACATCTCTCTCAGTAGTGCATCTCTCAGCAGCATGTCTCTCTCAGCTGGCAGTGAGAGATTTCTTCTGCCACTAGGATGGTTCATTTTGAGCCTGGCAGGGTGGCAAAACTAATCAATCCCAACATCAGAGTTCTACGTACCTGAGAGAGAGTGAACTTTCCCAGATTACTTCATGCTGTTCCAACAGAAATACCCCAGGTGGATGACTTTAATAAGCTGGAGTTTAAATTGCATGGTCCCACCCAGTAATCCAGTGGGAGTTACAAAGACTACTAGAAAAGCCATACCATGTAATTTACTACAGCACAACTAGATAGCACAGCTCTGAAGCCCACCCTATTATCCAATTCACTATATCATCATGGGCTTGATTAGGCTACCAAAAAGTCTATGGTATATTTAGCATCTTCTTGATCCCCCATAACTCTAATTTGTTATAAAATAAATCACATAAGAAAGTTGATTCATCTGTTTTAAATCCAACATTAATTAAGTTAAGGGAACCCTAGCCTCCAAATCCCTGAAACCAAAGAATTAGATGGTACCCAGCTAACACAGCCGACTGCTGTGAAAGGGATCACAATAGGAGGTCCCAGACAGAGTGGGAGAAAAATGTGGAACAAAAGTCAAAATCATTAAAAAAAAAAAAAAAAAGACCAGGCTTGTATGGGTAGGCGGACAGGAATATACCCATGACCATATGTAGATTTGGCAGATGATATTCCTATAAATGTATTTGCATGTGCTATAAAAATGTCCTTCTATATATTACAGGGGAGCTCTAGTAGCGTAGTGCCTAAGGCACTTGACTGCTAACCAGAAGGCTGGCAGTTCAAACCCACCAGCCACTCCTCAGAAAGAAGATGGAGCAATCTACTTCCATAGTGATACTGCCTTGGAAACCCAAGGAGGGGTCGCTATGAGTTGGGTCCAACTCGATGGCACATAACAACAACAACAACAACAATATATATTACAGAGCTAACAGAGGAGAACGTTAGGATAACTTCTTAGCTACAACCAAGCATCTTGAGAAAATGAGTCACTGGGCCTGAGGGCTTGAGACCATGGTCACAGGGGACACCAAGCTCAATTGGCAAAACACAGTACACAAAAACATTGTTCCACATCCTATTTTGGTAAGTAGCAACTGGAAACTTAAAAGCTTGTGAGTAGCCATCTAAGATGTAACTATTGGTCTCTCCTCCTCTCTCTTCCTCCTCTTTCTTCAGAGCAAATTGAAGAAAATCAAATATGTATGGAAACAGTCCAAGGGAATAATGGACCATGGGAACCTCAGTCTACATGATTTTGCCTGTTCAATGAACTAAGAAGGCCAGTGGAGCTAGAACACAGAAAAGGACCAGAAGAATGGAAGGAACTTGGACATCTAAGATGCAGCTATTGGTCTCCTTATCTGGAGCAAAGAAGAGTGAAGAAGATCAAAGATATATAGAAAGAATTAGTACAAGGGCCTAGTGGATCATGCCAACCTCAGCCTACATGACCTAAGACCAGAACTAGATGGTGCCCAACTACCAATACCAACCACTTAGAAAGGGATCAAAACTACAGATCATGGTTAGAGTGGGAGAAAAAGTGCAGAACAAAATTCAAAAACATAGAAAAGACCAGAATTATTGGTTGGAAAGAGACTGGTGAAACCCCTGAGATTATGGCCCTTATTCACCCTTCAGGCATGGAATTGGATTCATTCCCATGGCTTAACTCTCAGCCAAACAACTGATAGGCCTATCAGATGAACAACCACACCAGGGAGATGCACTCCTTGGAACAGTCAACCACTGGAGATCGGAAGGGCAGCATTTACACAAGGAGAAAGCTAGGCAGGCAGGAACACATAAGCAAGAAGAACACAGGGAAGGAGTAACCACGGGGAGGAGGTGGGAGGAGAGCTGTTACACCATGAGGATCATAATCAGTGTCACAAAACAAAATGTGTATGAACTGTTAAATGTGAAATGAATCTGCTTTGTAAAATTATGTCCAAATCACAATAAAAAGTTAAATACACAAATAAATAACTGCCTTTGAGAACTGCCTGTTAGGGGAAAAAAAAAAAAAACAGCCTTATTGGTCTGATAGTGGCTGGTGGAACCCCTGAAACTATGGCCCTTAGATCCGCCAAGCCTGTAGCTCAACTTTCAACCAAATCATAGACAGGCCTATAAGGTGAACAATAATACCAGGGAGGTACAGATCATATGAGATCAAAACGGCAACATTTGCCGGAGGATAAAGCTAAGGCAGCAAGAAGAGATGGGAAAGAAGAACAAAGGGAAATGGTAAACACAGGGAGAAAGTAGGAAGAACGCTGTTAACACTGTAGGGATAGTAATGAATGTCACAAAACAAAATGTATATGAATTGTTCAATGGAAAACCAATCTGCTCTGTAAAGTTTCACCAAAAACACATAAAAAAAGGGGGGAAAAATTGATATGTCATGTTGGATATAGAACTTTAAAACTGGATGGGATATTAACAGAGACAACTATCAAGTTTAACCCCTTTACTTTACATACAAAAAATTAAAGGCTAAAGAGGTTGTATTCAATCTTATTTGATAAGGTCACTTTTTTTTTTTATTGTGTGTGATTTGGGTAAAGATTTACAGAGCAAATTCACTTTCCATACAGCAGTTCACATATACTTTGTCTCATGTCATTGACCACAGTTTACCACAATGCAACAGCTCCCCTCCCACTTCCTCCCCATAGTTACCTCTTCCCTCTGTCCATCCCTCCATACAATCCTGCCCCCTGAGCTATCTCCCTGTGCATAAGCAGCCCTTCTTTCTCCCATGATTGTTCTCTCCAAGGAGTGTATCTACTTGAGGTAAATATTTAACTCATATGCCTGTATTTTGTTTGGCTGGAAACCACAGGTGTGGGTTCAATTCCAGACCTGAAGGACAGCTAGGGGCCATAGTCTCAGTGGTTCCGCCAGGCTCTATCGGACCAGCAAACCTTGTCCCCAGATAAGGTCACTTCTTTTGGTTTATGGTAGCACTGGGTATACGAGTCAGGTCTCCAACCTCTACAGCATTCTAACTTTAGTTTGTAATGGCTGAAATCACAGAATCTGAACCGAGAACACCTGGTTCTTCAACCCAGGTTCCACTACTTTCAGCATCACTGTAATCCTGGGCAAGGTTTACAAAGGTTTCCAAATCTACCTTTTCTCACCTATAAAATGGGACCAACAATAACACCTCCGTCATATGTGGTGTTGTAAAGAATAACTGAAATTCCTTAGCACAGTACCTGGTGCATATAAAGTGCTCAGTCTATGCTACCTATTTTGTTATATTTTTGATAAAGAATGAAACAAATACGCCCTTTTATGTTGACAGCAAAATTAATGCATGTTATATACAAGACTAGACATTTCCACTGCAATAAGGGAAGATACACAAGTAATTTTTGAACTCTGTTCATAAACTAGACACATGTGAAAAGAAATACAAGACAACTATTTTCTGGCAGTTAAAATATCTGAAAGATTACTGGTTCGCCCTTTAGTCAATTTCACAAATAATCAGCTATACTAAACAGCCCCAGAAGACATTCAGTATTCATCCTTCACTCTACCTTTATGAGAAATCAGTAAATTAGCAAAAAACAAAGCAAATTACAGTTATATTAGAAAAAATATTAATCTTTCAATAATCACTGCTAGCATCATCAATAACTCACTTCTATATTCAGTATCAACTATTTCTGCATCTACAGATCTACTTTAACCATCATTATAACTGAAATTCATAATGGTCATTAAGAAAAAGTTAAATTTAGAATAGAATGAGCAAAAAAGAATTCAGTATATTTTTGTGAAGTTTTGAATCCTAACACTTAAGAAGGCATCCAGCAATTTCATTTATGAAGGATAGCAAGTTTCTTACGAAAGCAGAAAAACTGAAACTTCACTGTATGTTACTTTGTATTCACTGGGTATTAATATTTGCCCGTAAGGTAGCTGCAGTCCAGTAAAGTGGTCTTTTTCTACATGTTCTTTGTTTTGTTTTCAAGTAATAATCCTTACATAAATTTCAGAATCTTTAGTATGGATATAAAGTTAAAGTATCATTATAGAAGCATGAAATAGGGAAAATAATTATATAATAAAAAAGCTTCAGATCTGACAAACATTTTTCAGTAAAATCAAATCTGCAATAACAAACTATCCTGGTATTTTGGATAGTTCTCTCTACAAGCATTTCAAGTGCTGCTGCTGAGCTGCATATCAATTAAAAGGAGTTGTTCAAGGTCTGTGCTTAAGCAGGGGCTGGTCTAAATGAGAAACTCACTGATTCCACTTATAGTCTAGGATGGGATCCACAATGCTACCTTTCTGATTCAAAAGCCTTTAAATATGATTTACAGTAACTCACATTTACTGGAATGATACTCTGAAAGCTGTTTTCCTTCATTAGTCCAAGGAGAAGGTACGATGACATCTTTAGTGAAAAACTAAGAAAATCAAAGTCATACAATTAGGCATAAATTCTCCACAAAATATAAAAGTAAAAGGTGCCTTTGGTGACTGTCTTTAATCATTTCAAACATGTCATACACTGATTTTATAGTTATACTTAAAAATTTTTTTTAATACTTAAAAGCACAGATTAACTAAAAGTGAGATACAAGCAATTTTAAGTATATATAAAGAAAAACGTTAAGACTTCAAATCAACCACTTAAATTTGAAATCTTAAGTAAAGCTAAAGGCTTTATCTTGTGGGGTTATTTTTGCAAGAGGGAAGTCAGAGAAGGAACAAATGGAGGCAAAGATACGCAAGTAAGCCAGTATGAATGGTGTGATAAGGCTGGCTTGCACCGGCTCATAAGATCTGATTACTAAATTTTTAGCAACTCTGTATACCAGTTGTTAAAGTTGTTACTAAAATTATGAAAACTTACAATTATATTAATTGTAATTAATCATTAATAAGTTATATTAAAAATAAAGGCCACAAATACTCAAAACTCATCACTTGCTAATTATTTTACCAGTATATATCCCTTTTGGGAGCTCTGGTAGCATAGTGGCTAAGACACTTGCCTGCTAACCAGACGGCTGGTGGTTCAAACCCACCAGCCACTCCTCGGAAGGAAGGTTGGGCAATCCTACTTCCGTAGTGATACTGCCTTGGAAACCCAAGGAGGGGTTGCTGTGAGTCGGGTTTGACTCGATGGCACATAACAACAACAATATCCCTTTGGTACCTGTATGGTAGAACTACTACATATAATAGTATGCCACTGCACATCTCTTCCCATTCAGTGAAGTCACATAAATAGCTTGAAACTGGTATTAACTGGAGTAATTACACCATAGATAGCAACAATCTCTATAAACCAAACTTCACAACCAAAAAGCCAGTTGTTAAACATTTACCAGCATACCGCTGGCCAAACAGAGATGGAGTATTTGGATATATTTCTTTCATTTTACATTCTAGATCAGATTAAGCCTAATAGAATACTTAGGTCTACTCTCTCTGTTTTGAGGGCAACTCAAAATATTTTCTTTATATTTTGCTACACATGTGATAAAAAGCTAATTTCCTTAATTAAACTACCTATGAATCTATGGAAGGAGCTCTGGTGGCACAGTGGTTAAAGCATTCTGCGGCTAACCAAAAGGTCAGCAGTTCGAACCCACCAGCCTTTCCACGGGAGAATGATGAGGCCATCTGCTTGCATAAAAATTTACAGCATTGGAAACCTTAGGGGTTCTACTCTGTCATATAAAGTTACCAGGAGTCAGAATGGACTCAATGGCAATGGATTTTTAGGGTTTTATCAATCTTTAAGAAAAGATTTTAAAGAAAGGAAAATGGGCAGAGATTATGATACAGACAATTCCCAGAGGGAAAAAAATATATATACATATATATAAAGGAGGCATACCATGAAATGATGTATAAGCTCACTCAAAATTAAAGGCAAATAAAGAGATGTCATTTTTCTGAAGTGAAAAAATAAGCAAATATTAAGAAGTTTGGTAATACTTTGTATTGCTGATATGAGGAAACAGACAGTATCATATAGACAGCTAGCAGTATAAATTAGTACAACCTTCTGGGAGGGCAATTTGGCAAAATCTATCCAAAATGACAATTCACAAGGCACCTGCCTTAGCAAGTCTTTTTCAAGTATACAGATATGCATGCACAAGTATGCTCACTGCTGCATTATTTATGATAGGAAAAAAAAAATGAACACAACCTAAAAGTCTATCCATAGGGCCTGGGTTAGATTATGGTATATCCATAAAATGGAATACTAAGCTGTTTTTAAAAGAATGCATGTGATAATTATATTTAAAAAAAAAAAAAAAACCTGAGAAATTATTAAGGAAAAAAGCAAGGTACAAAATAATTAAGAACAATGATCTTACTTGTCTAAAATATTTAAAGGATCTATACATAAAATTAATCTGAAAAGTACACAAGTAATTTTGTACTAGTTACCTTTAGGGAGTAAAGAGGAAACAAAAAGGAAACAGTGGTTTATCATTTTTGTTTGGTATCTTTTCTTTGCTCTTTGAATTTTATTGTTAGCTATTACTTCTATTTTCAAAAATATAAACAAAAAAGCAAAACTTGTTCCTTATACATTAATCCTAATCTTCACTCTGACTTCATTTTCTTAAGTTTTGCCTTCTGAATTTAAAGTTGAAGATTCTAAAGAAAAAGCACATTTTCCAAAATGCTACAAAATGGGAGTCAGATTATTCAAGTGCAGGAGAATTAAGTGACTGGATCAAAATAAAAATTCTGAAGTTACTAGATAGTTTTAAGAAGTCAATAACATTTGGCAAGAGTAAAGCAAATGAAACTGTTCTAGGAAATGGGCTATATCTGAATACAAAGGACACACCTACACTAGAAAAATAGGTGCAGTAGGAACCATGGCAACACCTGATCGCTGAGCACGTCACAGCTGAAGAATTTGGGGTGTGGAAGTACCAAGTATACCTAAAAAACAGAGGAGACTATAGAGGAAAACAGAAAAAATAAGAAATGCTGCCACGGACCAAAGATTTTTCTGAGGCAATAACTAGATAATCTTTATTCTCTAAAAGAAGATCGGCAAACAAAATACATAGAAAGTGGAAAACTTAGTTCACTATTTCATTTAAAAAAAAAAAAAAAAACTACATTTGCGATATACTTTTACTGTTACCAGTTTAAGACATTTTATTTCATGAAACACATTCTGTGTCTTAAAAATCCAAGTATCAACAACAAAAAAAGGATAAAACCATTACCAATGCCAATCTAGATTTTTATAGCCTGAAAATATTCAACTTACTCTCCACTAACTCCAACCTGAAAGAAAAGTTTGTGCTAATCAATATTCTGAAGGCACAAGAAAAACAAACTGTACAAGGCTCTGAGAAAGAAAAGATCAATGAGGCACAATACTGGCTAAAAAGAGGATTCAATCTAGGAGAGAGCAAACAATCAAACTAACTATTATGAGAGGTCCTGGGACAGCTAGAAAACACTGGTTTTATGGGAGCACAGAGGGATACTTAATACAGTTGGGGACAGGTTGGTGAGGAAATGGGACAGTGAAGGATTTGAAGGAAGTCTTCCTAAGAGGGGTCAAGCATACAGAATTAAAGTTTAAGTAGCTTAATGATCAGTAACAGTTATAAGTTACCTCTTCAATGGCTTTTTGTCTTTTGTCTTCCACATCCTTATCTATTCTATACAGTGATAAAGAAGAAAAAGAACCATGCCATTACTTTAGTTTACTGAACATTTAAAATAATAATCTTTCAAAGGAAAAATTTTCTCCAATTGAAAACTTGTAAATGTTAAGCTCACTTTAAAAGAAAATGGTACCTTAGAACATTTAGTAAATGTGAATTCAGTATCATGAAATTCAGCATTCCATTCCATCCTTTTCCATCAAGGTATGAATGGAACAATATTTTATTTTAAATGGCTTACACTGATATAATTTTAAAATTACTAGCAATATAAAGAAATTTGAATAAACTTTGTACTTTCATCACCACAAATTAAATACATCTTTCCATAGGAATCTAAAACTTGTCCAAATTCTTCCCCTTCAATTGATACCATGTTTATCATAGCAGTAATATTAAGATCAATTCTTCCCTGAAATAGAAGAAAATTATCATCTTTACAGTTTCTGAATAAAAGTATTAATTATGAAATAAAACTACTTAAAAATTTTGTTCCAATAAAATTTTTCCACTTTGATATAATACGCAATTACAGCCATACAAACTTCTTAGATATAAGATTTAAAATAAAATGTCGAGTCTCAAACACAAGGCATATACTTGCCAAGGATTAAACAATTAGCCTTGTAGGACCACTTCTTTATCCTACTCCAGAAAAGAGTAATAAATTGGTAAGACTTTTTTATAGCAATTGAAAATTATTTTCTTTCAAAAATTTTTCCCATGTGTATTTGCTTATGGCTAAACAAAGCTTATAAAAAGACATACATGTCTCGGAAATTCATCAATTGAATTTTTCAAATAAGGGAATTATGAGAAAATAGACCAGAGTGATAATCCACATACTGTAGCCATTTTGGGAATACCTCAGTTCTTTTCATTTTACCATAGTTAAAATGATAGTTAATAATAATCTTAGCACAGCATATGTAAGCTCTGATCTACCATTACCTTATTCAGAAACCTTTTGTGGCTTCATCAGAGGTACTTCAAGAACCTAAAACTTACACACGCCCTGGAGAGAACAATCATGGGAGAAGGAAGGGCTGCTTATGCACAGAGAGACAGCTCAGGGCACAGAAGAGTATGGAGGGATGGACACTGGGAAGAGGTAACTATGGGGAGGAAGTGGGAGGGGAGCTGTTGCATTGTAAATTTTGGTCAATGACATGAGACAAAGTATATGTGAAGTGCTGTATGAAAAGTGAATTTACTCTGTAAATCTTCACCCAAATCAAAATAAAATTAAAAGAAAAAAAAAAAAAAGAACCTGAAACTTTCAAGTGATTGCTGGAAGCGGTAAAAATTAATTTGGTCAAGTACTATAGAGCCAGATCACAGAAGATTTTTGAAGTCACATAGGACAGAGCATCCTGACTGGTATACACGACACTGATATGATGCATGTAGGCCACAGGTGTGCCCTGAATGGAGATCTGTTGGCCTAGGGGTAACCTCATGATGGACAGACTCATTTGTTTACACCAGTATGCCTTACAGCTCTGCACCCTTACAAGGAAAAGGTGGAAAGCACTACATGGGAGTTCTGATTTGGTAAGAAGAGATACAGAAAACACTGCTGGTTTCTAAGAATGAATCACCATCTTGTTAAGAGTTTACTCCCTAACCTTGGTAGATGTCATAATCTTTTACTGAATTACATTAGTAAACTAAATTAAAATTAGGGCCTTTTCCTAGTCTTCTCTCCTGTCCTATCTGATAAGTCTATCCTGTGAACTATACCAAGATTAATTACATTAACATTAATACATTACTTAATAAGAAGTATAAAAAGGTTGTGTCACATAACTTTGATATAACTGCGTTGTTGACTCTGAAGGACAAAAATAATATCCCATACTTCTTCAGTGCTCCTCACAATACTTCCTGGTGATTAATAAATACCTCTTGACTAATAGAATTGTTTTATAATAGCTGTCAATGGTTGAATATTTTGAAGAGCTGAGGTAAAATAAAGCAGTTTGTGAAATAAAAAATTGAGTAATTGTGATTCATTTGTTTTCAGATTTTTTTTTAACCCTCTCTTTCAAAAGCATTATCTAAATTTAGATTAAAATTCTTTTATGCTATACTACCATTGTTTTCTACTACTGTATTCCACTCTGGATGGACATTAATTATGAGTGAATGGTCATCAAGTTACCAAGCAAAGAGAGAGGGAAAGAAAAATCAGAGAAGTACTCACACGAACATTTCAACACGTATACATCTTCATGTGATTAAATTCTAATGTCATATGTCAAAGGGTATCTATTGGACTGATAATACAACCACCTTAGCTCAGATTTAACAGCTGCACATAGCACCTATTTGTCTTTTCCAATATTAAAAAAAACCAGACACTTAAACTGATATCAATAACAGTCCATCAAACACTGCTAGCTGACAACGTGTAATCAAAAACTAGATCTGTCCCTGCATAGTGCATGTTCTCACTACATTCGGCCTCATCAAGCAGCGTAAGTCTGAGGCACACTGGTACTCGGAAACCTATACATCAACAAGTAAGTTAAGACTACTCTGGTTACTAAGTGGAACTGAAGATAATGTATTTATGATCCCATAGTGCCTAAGGCATTTGACTGCTAACCAAAAGGTTGCGGTTCAAACCCACCAGTCGCTCCTCAGAAGGAAGGTTGGGCAATCTACTTCTGTAGTGATACTGCCTCGGAAACCCAAGGAGGGTTCTCTATGAGCCGGATCTGACTTGACAGCAGTGAGTTTAGAGTTACAGGTACTTTAATGAGCCCTGGTGGTGCAATGGTAGTGCTCAGCTCCTAACCAAAAGGTCAGCAGTCTGACCTCACCGGCTGGCCGCTCCACCAAGAGAATGATTACAGCCTTGAAAACCCTATGGGGCAGCTCCACTCTGTCCTACAGGGTTGCTGTGAAATGGAAACAACTCAACAGCAACTAGTTTGGGTTTTTGTTATTGTTGTTACATGTACTAGGTCAAAGTTGGATGATTTTTAAAAATTGTTTTCTCTATTGTCAATGGATACTTTTCCATTCAACATATCTTAACTTGGTAAGGGGACTTCCCGATTCCCCAATGGTAGATAGCAAATAACTAGCATTTTGCTTTACCCACACATGGCAAAAAGAGAGAGAGAGAGAGAATGCTTTAAAAAAGGAAAAGGAAAATTTAAAAAGCCAATGGCAGAAACTGCAATCATGTAGGAAGGTACAAATTTTAAACGCCCTGCCCTCTACGAAGTGCTGAAGAGGCAGAGTTGTTCAGTAAGTAGTCCAAGAAGTTATCTCTAAAAGAAAAGAACTCCTAACTCAGATTTAGAATTCTCACCAAAAGAGTCTTTCTGTGTGTAGTTCTTTAGATTAACTCCTCATTTACACCAGTTTTTCCTCCCTGATATCTTTACATATAAAAATATTCAACCTTTCGAACTTCCTAGCTCTCTTCACTTGACAGTATGTTATTACACTTTGGTGTAGGAAAGGAAAACTTACCGGGAATGACTTAAGTATAAAGCTTGACGATGAATGTCCTCTGGGTCTATTTCTACAGGATTTATTACAGCTAGTTGATCAATAGACCATCTAAATTTCCCTGGAGTCTTAACAAAAGAAAGTAAGCTTATGAGTAAAAACAAACTAAACTAGTTCATCAAAATGCTAACCAATGTCACCTTCAAAAATAATGTAAAGAGCTGTAATACAAAAATATTTTAAAGCTCTTATCTTAAAATTTGATCTTACCACTAAATTCAATGGCAAATGGTACTCATCAATTAAAATCAACTTACTTGACTGTATCTCTTCTGAAATATCAAAATTTCCTATCTCGTTAACTTTTAAAATTATGTAACAGACAAATCACAAGAAGAGTAATAAAGGTAAAAAATTCCATAATTAATACTCATCAGTGATGTAACATATCCATGTAAAAGTAAAAACCTCTTACACATATCAAAGGTCTTTATTTTCACTAAGAAGATACTGAAATTAAGTAAAATTCTAATCATAGAAGTGGCTGGAAAAGCTCATAAAAGAGTTGATCCTGAAAATAATTATGAATGGTAACAAGTGCTGCTATTATTTATTCAATGATCTAACTGATCCAAAAGCTTATCCAAATCCCAATCCATAATTAGGAATATATTTTTGACAAATTCAGGCCTAAAGTCCCAACATGCCATGGTTTCTGGATTTGAGAATAATGTTGCAGGCATTCCATTGTTTAAGACTAAAAGATAACTAAAACTTAATGAGTTAAAAAAAAAAAAAAAGTCAATTAAATATCATGAGGTCAGATTAATGAAAAGACTCAATGTAAACTTTAAAATTACCAGACACTCTTCTCCTACATATCTGTTGATAGTCCAGAATAGAAAAGATAGCATTAACAGTCACTAGTTTGCAGTTGTTCTGAGTAAGTTACTAAGGTTAATAAATCAGGCTTCAAAAGAACTTCTCCAGTATAGCAAGTAACAATAAAAATAAGCTAAAGTGATAAAGCCTCTCCTAATCTCCTAAAAAGCACTCTTTCTCTTATCACCCTTGTGCTTAACCACCAATCATAACACATATCATGAAATGTTGAAATTGCTAGCTCAGTTGTGTCTATCCTATTAAAGAAGGAGCTCTCGTGGTACAGTAGTTAAAGCATTTGGCTGCTAACCAAAAACCACCAGCCGTTCCTCAGGAGAAAGATGAGGCACTCTGTTTCCATAAAGATTTACAGCTTTGGAAACTGTATGGAGCAGTTCTACTGTCCTATAGGGTCTCTATGAGTGGGAATTGACTCAATGGCTGTGGGTTGGGTTTTCTTTTTTATCCTATTAGCACAGAAGTTGAATTCTTTTCATAGCCTACAAGCTAAGAACAGTTTTTAAATTATTAAATGGCTGAAAAACTCCAAAAGAACATTAATATGACATGACATGTGAAAATTACATGAAAATAAAATTTCAATGTCTGTAATATAAGCAAAGCTTTATTGGAACCTAATCACATTTATTTGTATATGTATTGTCTATGCTGTTTTTGTGATACAAGGCAGAGGTGAGTAGTTGCCACAGTAACCAGATGGCCTGTAAAGCCTAAAATATTTACTGTCTGGCCTTTGACAGAAAGTCACTGACCCATGCATTACAGTATTAAGTTCCTTGATAGTTTGTGTGTAATGATGTTGACTATCTCACGGTATAACCTCTAGGCCTAGCACTGTATCTGACAACACATAGTAGCATTGCAGTGTTTGCCAAATAAATGAAAATAGACAAGTTATTAGACCACACAGCTTGTTCCCTAAACTAGTTTACTGGATACATCATTACCCATAGTATCCAATTATACCTACAGTGGCATGGAATTATCTGCTGAATTTAAAAAAAAACGAAAAAAAAAATGGGGGTAGGGAGCAGAGAGAAATGCTAACTAAAAAAATCTTCAAATTTATTTTTAAACCAACCAGCAGATTATAACAATACTGTAATTAAAAAGAAAAAGCAAGCACATTGCAGCTATACATACTCCATGATATATTTCTCCCTCATGCCCTAAAGAAAAGATATTTACATCTAAAATTATTTGTGAACACTAGTCAAGAATAACTTACCGGTAATTTTGTTGATTTAAAAACAGAAGGACTGGAGAGAGTTTGTTCATGGAGATTAGAATAATCACTAGGACTTTCAAAAGGATTTAAAACAGGGATCCTTCCTGGAGTTTCTGGTGTTATTTGCATTTTTGATTCTTTAGCATCTCCCATAGCACAGAGAGAAAACTGAAAGGAAATGAGAAGTATATATAATAAAACTACAAACTCCATAGATATTAATTTTGACCATTAAAACGTATTCAAGAAATTTTTATTTCATAAAAAGAATAAACTCAAACCTAACGCTCTTGGGTTTTTGTATAGTTTACAAAAAAGCATCACATGTATTTTCTCAAGTGATCCACGAAATAACCCTGGAAATTAGGGAGATATAATCTCACTTTGCTTAAGAATTAACAAATTCACACAAGTTAAGTGGTTTCTAAGCGGTCATCGACCAAGTTAGAGCTCACATCCGTCTTAGAGGCAACTAAATGTTACCAACAGACACAAGTTCCTTTTCAACTTATTATACCCATAGGTTTTCATTCATCATCTAAAATCTCTAAATTAGAGTTTGAACATCCTTCAGATACCCCAGCAATTCCCTATCAAATTGCAGTTATTATTAAACAATTCTTTGCAACAAGCAAATAAGAGATGAGGAAGTTTGTGCATTAGACCTCGCCAGAGAAGTATGACTGATTAGGGCTAAGAAACTGGCTTTGAAATTATCCCTCCTCAAACATCCTCCACTCATCAAGACCCCCAGGATAGAAGAAGAGATTGCACTACTTTCAGCCAAAGGGATAAACAACTAACGAAAAAGAAAAATCTACTTTTTGGAAGGCTAAAGTGAAGCTGGCTTCCGTGGATCAAGGGCAGAGAATGTGACCGTCGCTGTCACCCCCAACCCCTACGCGATCAGACTTTCTGGGCGCCCCTCTCTTTCGCACCTACCTACCCCCCTCGGATGTTCTTATTGACTCCGGGTCGCTGAGCAGGCTGGCAAGTCTGGAGCCAGGAAAAGTAAGCTTTCCTATCAGAGACAATAGAAAGGCCAGGAACTACAAAAACGTACCTACTGGTGTGTGGAAAAAGGAAACCACGCTTCCTAAGGCAGAAAGCCCTCAATAGCGACTCCACTGTACTCGCGAAGGGCCAGACCAGACCCCACGAAAAGCAAAGACTCTTTAACTCCTCGCTTCCGCGCTGTCTTACGCCAACCAGGGCACGGGGCTTGTGAAAGATTGGCCAATCGTGTAGCACCGCTGTTCGCGAACCAGCCAATCGCATCGAGGCCGAGTAGTAAATTCGAATGGAAACTCTCAACTTCACATTCCGCGCAGAGTAACGAGGCTCCAAATTCAAATCAACGCAGCCGCAGGCTGCCCAGGAGCGCGAGGGGCGGAGCCTCCCTGGCGTGAGCCGGGGGCGCGCGGTGGAATTACCCAGGAGAAACGTAGGCACTCCAGTTCCGGGTCAGGCCCTTCCCCGCCTCCGTTGGCCACAGCCATGGCGAGTAGTAGCGGCGCCGGGGCGGCTGCGGTGGCAGCGAACCTGAATGCGGTGAGAGAAACCATGGACGGTGAGTTCCCGTTTCCCTGTTACCTCGCCTTCGCTTCCAGTGCCAAGGCCCACCATCGGGTGAGATTAGGGAAGACTGTAGGACGACTTCCTGCCCCAAATGGCATCATTCACGATCCTCAGAAAGGACTGGCGAGGGCCTCAGGGTTGGCTGATGGCTTCGTCCCTTAAGAGTTTTCTCTTGGCTTCTGTGTAGTTTGTCGCGCGAGCGCGACGTTGGGGCCTCCACGTCAGCCTAGCGCGCGCACCGCCTTTCCGATGCTCAACCCCCGCCGCGTCCTTTCGCGCGGAACCCTGTGCTAGCGACACCCCGTCAGGGTTCCCCTGCCTCTCCCTTGTTGCTCCAGCTCCAAACGCGCGCCGGGTCCGACTTTTCGCGCCTTGACAACCGGACCCCTTCTCAGTCGCCAGATTCCGTGCGCTACGACTTTCCCATACTGGATTCTGCTGCAGCGCTCCTTCTCGCGCCATACCCCCCGCACCCAATGCGGAGTTCCCCTTCTCACAGCGGAGCAGGCAGTGCTACGAGCGCCCACTGTTCTGTATCCTCCGAGCAGAGAATGAGATTATCTGTTGTGCTCTGTCTCTTTGGCACTTAAGTGGACTTAAAAAAAAAAAAAAATCCGGCATGTAAACAAACAACCCCTTCATCAGATATGCTCCGGTTTTATTTTGGAGCCATAAGGGTAGTATGGGCCTTGAGAACAGTCGCCAGTGTTTTACGCGACGTAGCACGTCGGTGTAAAGCTTACAGATGGTTGAAAGACAAATTACTGTAGACTCCTGGATGTAGACCTACCATCTAGTGTCTGCTCTGTCATTTATTTATATCCCTGTAGTGAGCTTAGACAAGCTACTTAAACATCTTTGAGCTTGTGTCTTTTTCTGTAAAATGAGATTGTCTCTGGGTTAATTGTATTTGAGTAAGATGGCTAGGTAAAGGCATAGCAAAGGTGATTAATGAAAGGTAGGTTTCTGTATTTATCAGATGCCCTTCCACCTGCAGGCTCCTTTTTTTGTCTCCACGTTACACATATCCACCTATGTATGAGTGCTTGATGGATGTTATACATTTTTTTACACTCTTCCTCATTTTCCAAGGGATACCCTCATCAACCTCTATCTCTGTTAAACAAAAAATCCCATTGACTACTTACTAAGCAGTGTCAGCCTTTCTGCCATATATTGTTGCTGTCAGGGTTCTGAAATACTGAGTAGAAAGTCAGGTGTAGCTCAGAGAGAAATTTAATAGGAGGATAGTATATAGTAACCTTGTGCAAGGTGGAGAGACACACAGGGTATTGAAGGAAGAAGTGGAAGCTGCACTGGAAGAATTGACAAAGAACAAGGCTTCCAGGAATTGACAGAATACCAATTGAGATGTTTAAACAAACGGTTGCAGTGCTGGAGGCACTCACTTGGCTATGCCAAGAGATTTGGAATACAGCTACCTGGTCAGCTGACTGGAAGAGATCCATATTTGTACCCATTCCAAAGAAAGGTGATCCCACAGAATGTGGAAATTATCAAACAGTATCATTAACATCACATGCAAGTAAAATCTTACTGAAGATAATTCAAAAATGGTTACAACAGTATATTGACAGAGAGCTTCCAAAAAATGCAAGCTAGATTCAGAAGAGGATGTGGAACAAGAGGAATTGACATCAAGAACATGATCCATGAAGAAAACAAGAGGTCATTAAAAAGACAAGATGTTGCTAATGTTAGATGGATCTTGGCTCAAAGCAAAGAATATCCGGAAGATGTTTACTTACTTTTTTTGACTATGCAAAAGCATTTGTATGGATCATAACAAATTATGGATAACATTGAGAAGAATGGGAATTCTAGAACACTTCGTTGTACTCATGAGTAACTCAGGAGACTGTCGTTCGAACAGAATGGTTTAAAATCAAGAAGGGGGGTACATCAAGGTTGTATCCTTTCACTATACTTATTCAATCTGTATACTGAACAAATAATTGGAGAAGTTGGATTATATGAAGAACGTGGCATTAGGATTGGAGGAAGACTTGTTAATAACTTGTGATATGGAGACGACACAACTTTGCTTGCTGAAAGTGGGGATGACTTGAAGCACTTACTGATGAACATTACGGGTCACAGTCTGCAGTATGGATGAGACTTCAATATTAAGAAAACAGAAATGCTCACAACTGATCCAAAAAACAGTTTCATGATGGATGGAGAAAAAAATGAAGTTGTCAAGGACTTCATATTACTTGTTTCTACGATCAACACCTACAGCAGCAGTGGAAGCAGCAGTCAAGACAGCAGACAGTGTATTGCATTGGGCAAATTTGCAGAAAACCTCTTCCAGGTGCTGAAGAGCAAAGATGTCTCCTTGAAGACTAAGGCGGCCTAACCCAAGCCATGGTATTTTCAGTCGCCTCTTAGGCATGTGAGAGCTGGACAGTGTATAAGGAAGACCAAAGAAGAGTTGATGCTTTTGAGTTGTGGTGTTGGAGAAGAATGCTAAAAGTACCATGGACTGCTAAAAGGACTAACAAATCTGTCCTGGAAGAAGTGCCCCCGGAATGCTACGTGGAAGCAAGAATGGCCAGACTTCATCTCACTTAATTTGGTCATGTTGTCAGAAGGAACCATTCCCTGGAGAAGGATATCTTGCTTGTTAAAGTGGAGGGTCAACGAAAAGGGAAGATCCTCAATGAGATGGATTGACACAGTGGCTCCAAAGGGAAGGTCCTCAATGAGATAGATTGACACAGTGGCTCCAATGTAGGCTCAGGTATAACAAGGATAGTGAGGCTGGCACAAGACTGGGCAGTGTTTCATTCTGTGCATAGGGTCTCTATAAGTCAGAGATGACTTGACAGCATGTAACACAACAATAACAGGCCATTCATGAGATGTCTTCTAGCTCACTGTCTGTGGCCAGCATTAACCAGTTTTGAAGCCTGTGTACCCCTGCCCTCCTTTGCCACCTCATGAACTAAGATGGCCAATCCAAGATGAGACCAAGACTTGAACCAAGGGTGAACAGCACACTGGGCATGCACATAGCCTGAAGGAAACTGAGGTTTATCTTAGGAATTTATCACAACCTTGTTCTGCTTCCTGACCTTTGCAAAAGGGTCAGGATTTTATGTATACCTGCCTGCACAAGGTCTTTTGAAGTAACTACACCACAGCTTTAAAAACTACTGTAAAAACTTCTAACTTGTAAGGCTCAGGGAGACACACATAGCGTTGCCTCTGGCCCCATGATCATGATCATATGTCACCTCCTGAAATGAATGATCATCTACCAATTCTTTTTGGTATAGTGACTTTGTATATTCCTTCCATCTTCTTTTGATGTTTCCTGCATGATTCAATATTTTGCCCATAGAATTTTTCAGTATTGAAACCCGAGGCTTAAATTTTTGCCGCACTTCTTTCAGCTTGAGAAATGCTGAGAGTTTTCTTCCTTTTGGTTTTCTAACTCCAGGTGTTTGCACGTTTCATTATAATCGACTTTGTCTTCTCAAGCTGCTCTTTGAAATCTGTTCAGCTCTTTTATCTTGTATTTCTTCCATTTGCTTTACCTGCTTTCTGTTCAAGGGCAAGTTTCAGAGTCTCTTCTGACATCCATTTTGGTCTTTTTTTCCTTTCTTGTCTTTTTAATGACCTCTTGTTTTTTTCTCCTCAATTTGAGTGGTGCCACATCAGCAAATGAAGGTCTCGAAAGCTTTCTCTTTTCCATGAGTAAGGCTGGGTTTACTCAGATGTTGCAGCT